ACGAACTTTTTTAATTGTTTTAATAAAAGAGCCCTTTTAATGATTTGAACCTGAACAAGTCTCAAACTCCTTGAAATCACCTCTCAAGTTTAGAAATGTTCTAAAGAGGGATCATCAAGTGTATAAGAAATTTTTGGGATTTTAAATAAATTTTAATTAATTAAATTGATTAAATATTAATTTTTGATTAAAATTAAGTTAAGGCTGAATTTGATGTCAAATTAAAGTGGTTTTAATTTTCACTGATTAAAGGCTTGATTATGGTCAATTAGAGGTATTATGGGCATTTTTTTAGAGTTAATCTTGATTTATTAGAATTTTTATAAGGCTCAAAGATTAATTAAGGGGTTAACCCTAAGTAAATTAATTAGGAAACCTAATGATCCCTAAAACCAGTGGGATAATTTATATGAAAGGGTAATGTCACTAAGTTTGTTTGTTCAAAATCTCAAGTCAAGGGAACATGCAACCTAATTGTTAGAAATTTCTAAGTTATATACACAAGTCCTTAATTTTTATCCTTAATGGTGTCACTAAATCATGTAGGGTAAAATAAATATTTCTAACTCTTGTATATCACATATGCAAAGACATAAATATAGCACACTCAAGTCCTTACATCTAGAAGTTCCTAGGTTAAGTGGTGTGTGTATCCTACACACGCAAGTACTAAAAAAAAAGGGGTATCTCAAAATACATTTGTACATTGACCATCCCCCATTGATTCTATTCAAGTATCTCAACCAACATTTAAAATTTCAAAAATTAATTCAAGGCTCTTAAAATTTAATCTTATATAATTTTAAAAGTTAATTTTATGTATGAAAATAGGTCGATTCTAGAAATTCTAGAAAATTGATAGTAATTTAAAATAATTTTTGATGAATGAATTTAATTTTAAATTTCAAATAATTAAAATACAATTTATTTGATATATTGTAATAATTTTTTTGATTTATATTGTATTTATAATAATTTTTTAAAGTTCTGTATTTTAAAAATACATTAAAAACTATTTAAATTTAATAATAATCAAACCGGCGGCTCAGTGACGGCGGACCAAACACACGTCAGCCATTGATTCACGATTTCAAACCGCGAGTGATGATTACCTAGTGGCGGCACAATGATTGCGCAGGTAATTATTGGATAATGATGAAACTGTGGACACGGTTTCACTTATCCGAGTTAGCTCGACTCCTCCACCATCAGATCTTCTGTTGTAACAAAACAATGGCTGTGATCTAGTTAAATGGAGCAGAAGGCATGGGTGTCAATTTGGGTCGATGGGTTGGGTTCGGGTCGAACTCAAGTTGACCCGGTTTTAAACGGGTCAACCTAAACCCGATCTATTTTTGCAAACGGGTTGTCTATCTCAGCCCGGATCTGACCCGTGCGGGTTGCCGAGTTGACATGACCCGACCCGACCCAATTTTATGAGATTTAGGCAGTGGCGAAGCACCAGCACCATCTGTGCACCTGTAGAGGTGACAACAGGGAAGGAGAATGGCAAAGCCCTAAGTGATGTGCAAGCACGCAGCGATAGGCAGACCAGGTGCAGCGGCCATATTCACAAATGCCTAAGCTCGAACAGCTGAACCCGAAGCAACACGTAGTTGCAGCAGGGAAAGCAAACGACGAAGCGATGGCTGCGACGTGACTTGACTTAACACATTAGGCAATGCAGGCAGCAAGGCAGTTGGCGTAGGCTGGGACCATTTCCGGGTCATTTTCGAGTTCCCGGGTTAACACGAATCCGACCCGATTTTTGAAACGGGTTGGTTTATTGAACTCGAACACAACCCGTTTCACAAATGGGTCGCTCGAACCCAAATTTTTTCGGGTAAGGTCCGGGTCGGGTTTCAGGTCAAGTCAAAAATTAACACCTCTAGTAGAAGGCCACAAAAACAAACCCACAGTCACAAAAATGTGCAGAAGGGCCAGATCTGGGCCGTTGATCACACGATCAATGACTCAGAAAATATATAGAAAGGATACGTGACGAACAAACCAATAGAATGGGTTTTTTTTTTTGGCTCGTTCGCTCGACCCAGTCAATCAAATCACTTGAAATTTTAAGCTTAAGCCTAAAACATGAACATAAATCTTGGGGTGTCCTCAATATGACTTAAAATGTAGTAATAAAGAGCTAAATAACCCTAACTACTGTGACCTAGGGCTAAGGGTTTTAAGGAATTTTATCATTGAATCTTCAAGATCTTAATACGGTTGAGCTTGTAGACTGTCCACATAAGTTTTCCTAATTGAAAGCACTGTTCGAAACTCATTAGATCAATTACTAGGAGGTCAGAAAAAATAGGTGGTTGGTTCACCGGAAAGTTTGCCTCAGGTGACGTGCAACCACCTGATTTTGGTAGTGGGAAGGGGTAGGAGAGAATGGAGAGTTAGAACGAAAAGAGGTTTAGGTCTGGAGGCTGGATGAAATGAGAGAGAGTAAGGGTTTCAATTAACGCTCAAGAGGGTGTTTTGCCCTATTCAAATGCCCTAGAGATTAAGAGACATCTGGGATTGATTGAAAACCCCCCTTGATGGCTGCCACATATCCCTAAGGTGGTCAAATGGCAGGGGGAAAGCCTGGACCGAGCTCCTCCGCTATTGGAGGTTTTGAGCTTTAGGGGGGGGGGGGGGTCACTTCTACTTATGGCTAAACCCAACCTTGGGCTCGATTAGAGAGCTCTTAAGGGAGCTTTAGGACTAAAAGGGAATCCCCCAAGAAGGTTGAGCCGAAAGGAGGGGTTCATGCAAGGGGAGTTGACTAGGGGAAAGATTTGAGTGTGTATTGACCAGTTTGACTGGTCAATAGTCAGGTTTACTGCCTAGGTGGCATAAGAGGAGAGAGATTTAGCTGGTTGGACAAGGTTTAAAGCTCTGGAACCAAGTAACTAGAGTTTGGAGAGGGAGTTGACCATTCAAGGGAAGGCTTAAGTGCTTAAGTTGACCCTTTGACTGGTCAAAGAGTCTAATTGACTCATGAGGTGGATTTAGGAGATATAGATAGCTGATTGAATGGATGGAAAGGGTTTGATTGGGTTGAACTTGATTGAAACAAGTGATTTGATTCAATGGGGTTAAGTTTGACCAAAGATTGATTCAGTTGGCCAAGTCAACTATTGATTGGGTCAAAGGGTCCAATCACATCTAAAACATTAAGGAGAATGATTAGATGTATTTGTAAGAATTTGGGCATATTTAGAATTTGATCCAAAGCTATTGAGTCTAACGTTTAATTTGGTCAACTCGGTTGACTTAGAGGATGGGTTTAGGCTCAGTAGATTCAAAATGATATTTGAAGACCAATGGAGGTAGTCCCAAGATCTGGAAAGGTCATTTGGGTCAAATGACCTATTTTGGGCTCTTAATGGATCATTGAGTCAACCTAAGTTAACATGGTCCATGAGTTATGACTAGGATCAACAAGTTTGAAATGATGTTTTGAATATGTTGGAAGTGGTTCCAAGGCATGGTGAGGTCATTTCAATCAAAATGACTGTTTTGACCCTTAAGGGGTCTTTGAGTCAACCTAGGTTGACCTGGTCAGCCAGGTTGACCGAGAGTCTTGGATTGGGTCTAATAGGTCCCAAATAATGTTTGAAAATGATTGGAGGAGATTTCAAGGGTTGATGAGGTTAAGTCACATTCAATTTTGGTCAAAAGTCCAAAAATTCCCTTAAAGGGCATTTTTGTCATTTTGGCCTTAAGTCTATTCTGGGTCAAAGTGAATCAAGAAAAACATAAATTAATGCTTAACATGTTAGTATCAAAGGCCTGAAAGTAATCAAAGGGTTTGGAGGGAGCTCCAAGGTCAAATTCGATTAGGTAACATGTCTAGTGGCATATGTCATAAATATTTGAAGGTTTTATAACTTTTGGAACTGAGTTTAATTTCCAGGCTTAGAAATATCAGATTGAGCTTAAACTTGGAGGGATGACCCTAGAGACATATCTTATCAATCTGTAATTAATAGACTCTAAATCAGAGGTCAATTTACTGGGTTTTAAAGTGTTTACAAAAATATTGGAAAGGCTTTCAGGACCTCTTAGAATGATTTTGGTCTGGATTGACCTAAGATCTAGATTGATCACGAGGTCTAGAGAATAGAAGGATCCTAAGATCTAGATTCTAGAAGGAACCTAAGGTCCAGGAAGTCCTAGGGTCTAGGGTCCAGGAGAGATCAGAATGACCTCATACAAAGGTGATATCAACAAATATTGATGTGTTTTTTCTAAGCAACTTTATTTTAGAACTTTGGAAAATTATAAAAACTTTGTAAACCCTTAAAAATTTTTTGGATAATGTAAAATTTACTGATATGTTGAAACTCTCAATAGTTCCAGCCAAATCAACTTTCGATTCCTAAACATTTTTATACCTCCTTTCATCTTTTGTATCTTGTGAGCATTGCATCTCCGGGAATATAGAGTAACATTGTTCCTCATTTTTTCTTTCTAAGTAGGTATCAAAAGTCTTAAATATTTGAATTTCTGAGCTTTCACGATTTTTTCTTAAAATAGAGTGCCAAGTCTGAACCCCTTTTCAAAAAGATATAAAATAGTAGGTGTCGTTCGGGTTGAAAAGATAAATAAAAAAAATTCAATTAAAAAATTTACGTGACAAATCTCACATTGGCATGTTGGTTGAGAGCTTAGACTTCAAATTAAAAAGTTTTGAGTTCGAGTCTTTGTATATGTGTTGTATGTATGAATTTGTCTTAAATGACCTAAATGTTAAAAAAAAAAAAAAAAAAAATTTAAAAAGCCCAAAATTAAAAAAAAAAAAAAAAAAAAAAACCGTGACATGCCGTCAGCGGCTCTTCGTTGCTCGCTTTGCCACGTGACATTTGATCGGTTGAACCGGTTAGATGTTTCGCTGCGACGGATGTCAGACACCGAATTCCAATCCGGTTATGGGTGTAGACAGTTCCATCACGGTGTTTTAAGAGTTGCCGAATTATTTAAAGGAACTTACATATATACAACACATTGGAAGCGATTTGCATCCGAGAGCGGGAAATCATCTTGTAGTTCGAGTTTGTGAAGAGAGAGAGGTTGCGAATGGCAGGAGTGGTGAAGGCTGATAGGCAGCAGGAGGTCGTCTCCGTTGAGCTGCCAGCTCCTCGTGGATGGAAGAAGGTCAGATTTCGATGATCGCAATGTGTTTTACCCTTTCAATATGTGAGAAAATTCTGATTCCGTGCCCTAATTGGCTTAAGTTTAACTCTGCACAGAGAGCTAATCTTACGCGTCTATTTCCTTGTTCATTGTTGTTATCCTAGGGTTTCTGAGCGCATTTCTGGCTCTTTCTTTTTGTTTAGATTTATTCTATTAAGCTATTGGTTTTCGGTTAGGATCTAATTTATTTGTCAGGAATTTGACGTAGTTCATCTTGTCGGCGAACAATTTAGCTCAATTAGCGAAATTTGAAGTGCTCATAGCACTTTTCTGGCAGGTGATTTGTATTCGGTATTGGCTGCAGTTCGCAGTCTTAGTTATTATAAAATTTTATCCGAAATTTCCAACTCATCGGACTAGGGCCACATATTTGCGAATTTTGCATGGCTAATTAACAGGGTATGCAAGGTTATGTAGGTGAACTTTTATGGGAATTAGCGGTACGCTTTCTGGTAGTTTTGGTTTTCGTTCTCCGTGATGATTGTGTATAACCTCCAACTTTTATTCTGGTGCACTTGAAACGTATCATAGTTTTTTTTTTTGGTTGTATCATAGTAGTTTATACTTAAGTTCATTTGGAAACTATTTTCTTACCTTTCATGATGTCTATAAAAGCTTATTTCAATATATGGTTTTTTTTTTCTTTTGGAAGTCCTTCCAACTCAGACCTATTCACACATATAAGCAACAATTGAAATACAATAAAATAAAATAAAATAATAAATCAAACACAAGCACAATAGTGTGCAATTGTAGGTAAAAAAGTATACTTGATATGTGATGCTACAAAGTGAATGATCAAGTTTAGGTTCGATGCAGATTATAGTATGATGTAACATTTAACAATCCTTTAACACAATTTGTATTGAAGCTAAACAACCTACAAGTGTAGCCACAAACATAAAACAATGCTGATTATTAGGTTAAGTTATGTGAGTGGTAGAACTATCTAGCACAATGATATGAAACAACTTAACCAAATACAATTATGAGATTGAATATCATCAAACATCATAGCCATAAATATCTGCACAAATATATAGGCTGATGTAAAGAGAAATTATACTGCAAGTCAGCAATTAGGCTATTAAAAGCAACATTATTGATGATTCAATACAATTTCATATGTTCATTCCAACCATATACTGCTATGAAAACATGAAAACATATAAAATAAGTAAATGTGCAAGAATTAATCTAAGTTAAAGAGCAATCATACACAATTGATATTTATCTGGCCTGCATTGACACCTAATTTCCCATTGGATTAGAATTCCACTACTTTCACTCCACTCAATTAAGCAGACAAACCGCTGCGCCATCTCTTTTTTTTTTATAATAAAAAGAGCACCCAATTCTTAATAAGGCAAAAATACTAAACACAAATAAGATTTTCACCCAAAGCTTCTTGAAGTCTTCCAAGACAACACATGCACGATTAAGAAATGAAACCTTTCAAAGTGTTCCAACATGTTTGTGGTGAATTAATGCTTATAATGCACTTATATGATCATTGGGCTATGTGCATGATATGACAATGAAACGGGATACATCTACCATTGAAAATATCATTTAAAATATGTGATACTAATACATATTGGATACGTCATTGTAATATCACATTTTTTAATTTGAAAAAAATTGTATAATAATTATACAAATTAAATAAATATGAAATGAAAAATGATTTCATATATAATAAATTTATTTCAATTGCTGATAAAATTAAATATATATTTATTAAATATCTTAAACTCAATTGAAGAAGAATTTGTCACATGATATTATAGTTTTTTAGCTTTAAGTTAACAAAATGGTTCTTTCTAAAATAAAAAATAAACATTATAAGAATAATAAAGTAAATCAAAATAAGAAAAATAAAATTAGTGTTAAATAACTAATAAGCTGCTTAAGTAATATATGTTAAAATAAAAAAGGAGGAAAACTAAAGTTATTAATATAATATATTTGAAATTCAAATTATTATTCATGATATGTGTTGGACATTTGTGTCTTTTAAATTCTTTTTTTTTTTAAATTTGAAATGCAGATGGTATGTCACACAAGTACACGTATCCGACACGACATATTTTATTATTACGAAGTGGTGGTACAACATAGCTTAAAACTTTCACCTAACAAATACATGAGTACACAATCTTTACTTTGATTGCACAAAGTACAATGCAAAATAGATTACACGCTTGTCTAGTTTGGGAGAAAATTATCTCTCTAAACGGAGAAAACAAGGATTTGTGATTTTGATGAACAATTGAAACATTTAAAATGATATTAGAACGGAACTCTCAAACTTTGATTATCTTCTTAGTTTATTCTATTACTTTACATCCACAATATATAACCAAGGGGATGGAAAAGGACAGTATTGAAGAAAACACAAAAAACTCAAAAGTCACCAAATTTCTAAAAAAACTTGACCTTATTATATGCTACTTGGGCAACATCAGAGCCTTCGATTAATGCATATAGAAATATTATAATGCATGCTATCTGATGCTAGCAAGGGAGATGATAATCAAGGTACTTTTATGTGATTAATAATTTTGTCTAATTAAATCCAATGTATATTATATTAAATCTTAAAATTGAAGTAAATAACTCAAGAAATCATCCAAGTTCATTCGACATAGTTAATAACCTAATTAATAATTATTAACACCGAATTAAATAAATTTAATGAAATAAATGAAACAGATGAATTCAATTAAATTTGTTAAGATAGAAAAGAAATGGCTAAGAAAATTTAATCTAACTATGGTTAATCTTATTTTACTTAATTAAATGAATTATAATATAATTACAATAATGACAATTTAAAAGCTAATTTAAAAAATTTTATGAGTACATGGGAAATTTTGAATCACATAAATTTGCTAAACATGAGTGATTAAAAAACATCATATTAAGCAGCTAATCACTAGTTATAAAATGATAATATAATTTCACAAAATTAATTAATAAGAATTAAATCAAATAATTAGAAAATAAGCCAAACAAATTCCAAGAAGTTGTAAAATTTAGTATAATTTTCCTATAACTAATCTGTAGAATAAATAAAGATAAAATTCTAATTAATTTAATTTTTGTGTTATTCAGTATCCTTGAATTATTGGTTTATTTACTCAATCAATTTATATTAAAAATTACTTGAGATTGAACATAGTTGACTAAATCTTGGATGATCTTTGCACTTGAGTTATTCGCCATTTGAGTCATTGCTATGTGATCAAAGCTCCATGGTAGTCTAGTTGATAATATTATCATCTTCATGGTTGTCATTAATTAAATTATTTGTAAAAATATTTAGCAAATTATTAGATGACAACATACAACTTTTTTATCATTAAATCACTAATGAACAACACAATAATCACCTAGGCTCATGGGATCAACACTCGACCCCAATTTGATGAGGAAAAATCAGTTTTTGTTTTAAAGGGATAAAAAAAAGTCTATTTTGATAAATCCTCCCTTCGCTAGAAATAAAGTAAATCTACTTTTCCCTCTTAAACGCATGCATATAATCAGCATATTGTATGATATATATATCATCATAATAACTCTTTTTTTGTCATCATCAAAAGAGTTCACCATAAATTTTAAATTGTTGTAACCATTATTGATATTCCCTCTTAAATATAGTACTCACTAATAAAAAAATATATGAATATAAAACAATCAAGTGTATTATGCTTGAAATAAAATGTAAACTAATATTTTCTCTAATACCCAATCTAATAATTGATAATCAAATCACTAGGGGATCTAACATAAAACATACATGTTAAATGCTAAATTAATATTGTAAGACCATTTAAAACATTGTTAACATGCAAATCAAGATGCTAAACACAAATTATACCCTTGAAATTCATAGGCTAAAATGTAAGTAATATAAATGTAGAGTTAATCATACTAAGATTAAAAAGCTAGAAGTTATGATTTATGAATCTCAAATTGAGACACATGAAGTTAGTGATCATGTACTACGCCTTTAATTAGTTTGATTAGAGGTTTCATAACCAGGCCAATCATAATCTAGTAGAGGGGTTGATGTGGTCAAACCAAATTGCATTATTTTGATAACACTTTATTTATATCACTTTTCCCTTAAAGAAAATTAGGAAAAGTTGTCAAAATTAATCTATAATTCTAAGCTTGGAGAACTAAGCATGCAATAAACCTAGTAGACATATAATCATTTAAATTTATAACATGTGTGAGTTTATCTATGTTACTAAGAACCAATTTTTTTTTATATAAGGTACTCTTAAAAAAATTGTTTAAAAGTATAAATTATATGTTTTTTAAAACATTTGTTTGTAATCTTGTTTAATATAATAAAATAATTTATTTATAGGTAAATTAATCATTTAAAGCATAGAATAGATTGGGTTGTATTTATGAACCTAGAATAATCCAAGATTAAATTAGAATTATCCCAAAAATTTCACATTGCTTTCAAAACTTGGATGTTGGATGTATACCTTAAGTTGATTGATTTTTGAACTTACGAAATCCATGCCTTCACTGCCATGTTATCATTGATTCTCTGTGAGGATATACCTATGATAATACTTCTTCGATTATGGTATCCAAAGAAGAGCGAGTCTACTAACTTTAGTAATATATGGAGATAATGCTTGTATAGGTGATGATGAATATAAACTAGTGCATTTTGGAATTCATATATATGTTGTTAAACTTGTAGTCCACATCGAATTTCTATAATCATCAAAATATAAGTTACATGCCTAGTTTTATTACAATAAGTATATTTGCTATTGCGCAAAGTATACATGAAGGATTTATAATTCTACTATCATGCTTCTAGAATAGGAATTCTATGCTCATGTGATTTTTAACAAGCATATGATATATGCTTATAAGAGTATATAACTCTACAGTTGCTAGTAGAAATGAAAGATGGCTTATTCTAT